CTGAAGTTACATGTGCTGAGCTACAGATGGTTAGACTTCATAGTTCTGTTATAAATGGACCGTGATGATTATTATTATTTAGGATAACTCTTCCATGTACAATTTGCCTTCCTGTACAACGTCCCACAATCCAAGTGGGAAGTGGAATGTCCTGGGAAGATCAGGCTGGAGTCAGACAGATATAACTGAGCAAAGCTTCTGTCCCTCTGCAACACATTTGATCCACATCTCCAAGGCAGAATTGAAATTGCTCTTTCACTCCAACGCATGCAGGCATAAATTGAAAAGGACAGTCTCTTAAACAGAGTACCTGTGGTGGCATTTTTCACCTCACCTCCTGCTTCTTAGCTTGCAGGCCAAATAGAGTTCATGAGAATGAACTCCTTGGATGTTACTGGCAGGAAAGAAAAGAAAAGAAAAAAAAAGATCAAGATATAAAACAGTTCATGTTACCTGTACAAGCAGAAATTAGTATTTATTATGCCATCTGAGTTCACTTGAGCAGGCAACAGCTAATAATATTTATGTGATTGAAGCCAAACAGCCAAACAACAGGAAAAAAAAAGAAGCGCATACTTTTTTCAATAGGTAACATATGAGAGTAACCAGCCTAGATACATCTGTTAGCTTATCTCTAAATAAACTGAGCATTGTTCACGTCCACGTATGTTTCTCCCTGTGTGGATAGCACATATAAGCTTATGCTGCAGTATGTAAGACTAAAAGCAGTGAGTCATAACACTTGGGTTTATTCATTCTACTGGGAAAACTTAAGACAGCATATACCAGCTCCATAATATCCTGGTACAACTAGGCAAAGCATAGTCTGTGCTCTGGCTAGTGCATAGGAAAGTGGGAAAAGTTTTTATTTCAGTCAGTTTTCAAGATGCTAAAACACAATTTTTCTTGTTGTCATTGTCTTCCTATTCCATGGATAATTGTTTTTAAGAATGCTACAGATCCACATTCATGTTACTTTAAGACACTGCTCATGTCTTTGGTAGCTTCTACCCTGTGGAAGAAAACACAAATATTTATGTACTACATAGAAGAAAAGTTCTTCCACACAGGAAGAAGCAATATACTCAAAACTCTCCAAAACTTAGATACAAATATATCTTAAATTTATCTGAATAAAATAATCACATGTGGGGAAAAAATGTAAGACCAACATAATCAACTGTGAGGTTTTTAAAGGCACTGAAGAATCTAAAACGTATCATTAACTTAAAAGATCACCAGAGAACCCTATATATCCCAAAGTGTTTTGAGGAAGGTCTGTTCATATCCCAGAATCAGGAATTGCACTCCTCTCCATAAATTCTTTGCAGGTTCCCCCTACCCTGCTTCCCAAAACATGATTGTGAAAGGAAGTGAAGTAGAAAATAACACAAGAATTATCTGACACCTTAATTTAGGGTTAACATAATTTAAGATACTATCTATTTTTTTCAGGAAACAGCCTTTTCTCTGTAGTAGATGCTTCTGATACATACTTTCAGATACATCAATTTCTTAACCCTTGTTTAATCCAAGTTCTTTTTTGTTCAGCAGTAACAGTCTGGCCCTGCTACAGCATAACCAATGCTCTGAGTGGAAAGCACATGGACACTCAAGTCTTGAACTCTGCATTAAGCTATTTACTGTTTCTGGAATTTATTCCTAAACTATTGATTTCTGCAAATCAGATTTGGTGTTGAATGAACAAGGGAATTCCAGAAGAATGCCACGTCAGCAGTTGACCAATGACCAGGCTGAATCCTTCCCTGTGTGCTGGCCTGTTTCCTCATCAGCCTCTTCTCCCTCATGCCTTGGATGTTGGCAGGCCATGGCAGGGAACACTCTGTGCCCTTCGTGGAGACAAATGCAGCAGCACTGCCTCGATAAAGGACTGCCACACAGAACAGGTCTCTTAAAGGTGTACGTTAGGAAAGCTGGATGAAGAGCCTGTGAATTGGATCCAGCCATTTCTCCACCTGTGAGGCAATTCCCAGCAGCCTGGACAAATGGGTGTCTAGGAGGCAGCTCCTGCACACAACACAGCAACATTTGGTGCTCAGGCACGTGTGGAGAAGAAGAGCCAAGTACACCCCAGCTACAGGAAAGGCTTAACTGAAGCTTGTTCCTTAGACACCACAGAAGCTGAGGTTTTGTTAGGTGGGCTCAAGTGTACTTGCCCCCTTCAGAGATGCTACTGCCCTGTTTTTTATCCTCACCTGCCTTCAGCCTTGCATTCCAGAGTCCCCACTGCGGGCCTGGGCCCTGTTTTCCCTCAGGACCAGCTCTTGTGGTTTCACCTCAGGCTTCTCCCTACCCAGGTACTGCTCCCTCAGGGCACACCTGAGTGCCCACAGGTGTGAAGAAGCCCTGACACCGGTGCCTCACCACTCAAACAGCACATCCCTCAGATACTCATTTTGGCTGTATGATCATGTAATCACAGAAGGGTTTGGGTGGGAAGGGACCTTAAAGATCATTCAGCTCCAAACCCCTGCATGGGCAGGGACCCCCCCTGCTAGACCAGGCTGCTCAGAGCCCCATCCAGCCTGGCCTTGAGCACTTCCAGGGATGGGGCTTCCACATCCTCCCTGGGCAGCCTGTTCCAGCGTCTCCCCACCCTCACACTAAAGAACCTCTCCCTAGCATCTCCTATAAATCTCCCCTCTTCCCGTTTAAAAGCATCACCCCTTGTCCCGTTGCTACAAGCCTTTGCGTTTTCCCTCCCTGCTCAGCTTTCCCGTCATCCCTTTTCCAGGCCCTGGAAGCCCAACTGCAGGGTCTGCCCTGCATCCTTCTCCAGCCTCAACAGCCCCAAACTTCGCCCCACCCCGGTGTCACACACACACGCACCCCCCGGTGTGACACACACACACACCCACACACCGGTGTGACACACACACGCGCGCGCACACACACGCGCGCGCACACACCCCCCCACACACACACCCCCACACACACCCCGGTGTGACACACACACACACAGACACACACAGACGCACACACACGCACACACAGACACACAGACAGACAGACAGACACACAGACACACCCCCCCCACACACACACACACACACCCTGGTGTGACACAGACACACACACCCCAGTGTGACACACACACACACACCGGTGTCACACACACACACCCCGGTGTGACACACACGCACACACCCACACCGGTGTGACACGCACACACCCACGCGCACCCCCGCCCCACACACACACACCCCCCCACACACACCCCGTTGTGACACACACACACACAGACAGACACACACACACACAGACAGACACACACACACACAGACAGACACACACACACACAGACAGACACACACACACACAGACAGACACACACACACACAGACAGACACACACACACACAGACAGACACACACACACACAGACAGACACACACACACACAGACAGACACACACACACACAGACAGACACACACACACACAGACAGACACACACACACACAGACAGACACACACACACACAGACAGACACACACACACACAGACAGACACACACACACACAGACAGACACACACACACACAGACAGACACACACACACACAGACAGACACACACACACACAGACAGACACACACACACACAGACAGACACACACACACACAGACAGACACACACACACACAGACAGACACACACACACACAGACAGACACACACACACACAGACAGACACACACACACACAGACAGACACACACACACACAGACAGACACACACACACACAGACAGACACACACACACACAGACAGACACACACACACACAGACAGACACACACACACACAGACAGACACACACACACACACACACCCACAGACACACCCACACAGACACACCCACACCCCGGTGTGACACACACACACACGCACACACCGGTGTGACACACACACACACACAGACATGCACACACAGACAGACAGACACACACACACGCACGCACACACAGACAGACAGACACACACACACACCCCCACACACACACCCCGGTGTGACACACGCGCACACACACGCACAGACACACACACACACAGATACACACACACCCCGGTGTGACACACACACACACGCACACACCGGTGTGACACACACACACACGCCCACACACACCCCGGTGTGACACACACACACACACTACATTAGTTAATTTTAAGTTCTTGGATAGAAAATAAAACTCTTTCAGACCTTCTGTATGGGCAACAAAAGGGAACACTAGAAGTGTTGGCCATCTTGTACTGCAACCAGTAAATATACAGGAGTCAGAAAAAAATAATTTGGTATTCTCCACATGGTGTGTCCAAGTATTTTCAATAAAATCACAAGGTTGTGTAACAATAATCTATTTGAAACTAAATTCCTATCTTTATTTCTTAGACTACAGAGCAAACACAAATCTGTCAAATTCTCTGAAAGTCTACATGACCTGACATCCTGAAGACAAATTCTCTTCCTATGTAAATTCTGGTCTCAGTGTGAGCACACCCTAAGAATGAAGTGAATTTTGGAGTCCTTCCATATAATTTTGGTAATCCTGCAGCTGTTGTGCTGCAGAACGTAAGACCAGATGTAGGACTCACAAATCTCACTACTAAGTCAGTCTCTGTGCCACTAAACAGTGTTGCAATTTGGCATTTCTGTGCTATTGTTCAAGAGACTGCTTTTCTTTCCTGTAGAGCAATATTCACCTTTAGTTACCAGGTAAATCTTTGTTACACAGAGTAAAAATAGGTAGTCACCTGAATAAATATGTAGTATAGAATTTTTATCCTTTAAAAAATATTTTAAACTTTTTTTTTTTTTTTTTTTTTTTTTTTTTTTCTTGACTTTTCCAAGCCCTGAGACGGGGAAAAAAAAAGTCTAGAGGGGACTGGTGTGTGGTAGCGTGTGCTTGGGAATAACCCGGCGGTGGAACTTGTCAAAGAATTAGGAAGCGGGTTAGTGAAGTCGGCTTTGAAAGCGGCTCCACATGCAAGGTGGGATCGATGTATCCTTTCCACACCTGACTGATAAGCGAGCAAGGTTTGAAGCAGAACACCTCATGAACAGGTTTTTGCACCTCAGCACCTATGCATGTGACATTTCAGCACCACTAAAACAGTACGTTATACTGAAATCGTCACTGATTAAAAGAGTGATATTATTCACAACCACACGTGCTTTATCTAAAGAGTATTCAGATTAAAAAAGATTAGGTTATGTTCCACAGGATACGCAACAAGAAAGACTCCTTAATGTATGGGGTTTTTGCAAGTTCTGCTTGCAGTGTGCTCACTTCATACAGCAGTCAAAACCCGCTGGAGTTTGAAAACAAACATAGCTGCTGTAAGCAGCTCTAACAAATTTTTAGGTTGTCTAGGTGTCAGCTTAATGTTTGCTTGGTAACCCTAAATTACTAATAGAATAATACCTGTTTAAACATAGTGGCCTAAAGCATTTACTTGGGAAGCAGGTGGGAGAAACATCCTGTGAAGTGAGAAAGCTTTTTTTTTAGCCTATGACCACAGTGTCCAGGGCCCAGAAACTGAAGCTAACTTAAATGCAGGTTACAAAACAGCCTAGATTCTCAGCAACAGCCAAGAAGACATGGGAGCAGTATAGCACTGGATATCCTGTTATCGCTGCTTCTCGGGTCTGTTTGAAGATCAGATGACTTTTCAGAAAATACTTTGCAGTTTTCTCATGGAGTGAGAGCTGGGTGATGTTCCTTGACGTGATCAGAAAGTGGACTAGATGCAGCTTCCTTCTCACACACAAAAGTACAACTGAAATTATTAGCGTTACACTGTGAACAACAAATAAGTACTGCAACAAATCTTGATCTGCAGTTTAAGCAAGAAAATCTGAGCATGGCTTTTTGTGTGGAGTTATTTTTAACCTTTGCATGAAGGTTGTGATTTTGGACCTGCAGTTATGCTAAGTGACAGTTCTAAGTGTCTGTCTTGTTTTTGTGCAGCAGTTGCACCTGTTTTGGTTCAGACTTTTTTTTTTTCTTCTCCTCAACTTCACAGGTGTTTTCACTGTCTTCTCTCTTAGAATATAGAAGTTATGCATTTTAATGTGCATGCTTAGCTTTTAATTAAACAATTTTGAATGCTTTGTTACTACATTTTTATGGGAAAAAGTGGATACTTCAGCTCAAGTACTCCTATTAAAAACAATCTATTGTAAACTCTGTTACAAAGCTTAGGTGGCAAATGGAATGCCTCTCTGCTGCTTGTAACTGTCCCTGTCATTTTCTTCATAATGTGTATGCTTAGCAGAAATTGTTTCACTTTTATCTGGTCCTAAAGTGTGTATGTCTCTACTTATGGGTAGAGTTTATCTCTACAAAGGACTTGGACAAATTAGCACCCAGGTATGACAGGTTTTTGTCTCAGATGAAAAGCAGTCCTTGTGGACACAACATAGTGTATTTTAATTCTAATTTGGTAGCTGAATTTACTAACAGAATGTTTATACGCTCTGTGTTCATCCATCCTGCTTCCTAGAATTAGGGAAACCATTTAAAAGCTGAGCTTCAGATAGAGTTTTGTGAGAGCAATATTTGTCTAAGTCAAGCTTAAAACTGACAGCAGGCAGAGAAAAGCAAACAGATTTACCACCGTTGCTGTGAGTGAGGCTGCTGCGTGAACTCGGCAGGTTTGTGTGCTCTTTGGCCTCTATCCAGTTAGTCAACACATGCATATTGAACTTGTGGTACTTTAGGCCTCTGTCCCCTTGTCACCTGTGTGTGGAGGGAAGTGGAAAGAGAGGAGAACATGGGAAAATGGCATTGGAGTTCTAGCAGTACAGGGAAGGGAGCTACTGTAGCTGCTGGCCCCTGGGTGGCACGTTGGATATGGAAATGCTGGAGATGTATCGCCGAAAGAGTAGTAGATGAGCCTGAGAGGAACCTGGTCATAATGTGGTGAACCTGGTAGGACTTGGGTGCAAAGCCATGGGAAAATCTGGCTTTGTTAGTTCTGCTCACAGGGGAAAAAGAACTGCTTTGAGAATGCAAACTTTATGTGCTTCAAAAGGCTGCTGCCTCATCCAGTAGCTGAACAGGCATTTTCAAGTCTATCAAAACATACCTGCTAGGGAAAACAGGTTAATTCAGGAAAAATACTGAAAATTTGGTTATAAGGGCTACTCTGGAAAGGAAATTCAATTGCTTAAACTGACATGGAAATTGTGAGGGTTTTAATAAAATGTTTTAATAAAAGAAGTTTTGGGCTGGTCTTCACGGGCTTATTAATTTTACTGTCCTGAAGTCAGAGTGTTCTCACACAAATCTCTATTTAAAGTTGCCTGCTGTTTAAAATCAAACTAACCTCTGGTGGATGCTTTATGGGTGCCACCTCTTGTCAGCTCACTCAGAAGTGTTTTCAGCTGGTGCTCACTTGAGTTAGGTTGGTTTAAAGGAGTGTAACCTTTGCAGGGGGCAAGACACCAAGTTGCTTAACTCTTCATTCCCTTACCATCTGTGCCTAAGCCAGAACTGTACTGCAAAATGGGGAACAATATATTTTATATTACCTAGAGCTTCAAGGAGTCTATAATAATTGTACTGAGTTGCTCTGTTCTTCTTCTTAACAAAGATGTCCTAACTAATTGCAAATAAAATATTACTAGACTATTAGCTAATTTTTTGTATCAATGATAGATTATTGCACTTTAGTATGTGCATAACTGGTTTTACATAAAGAGATTGTAAATCATGTTCAGAAAATAATACTTCTAGAGCTGGATTGGGGGGAGGCATAAATGACTGGCCTTGCTTTCTTCTCACTGGAAGGTAACAGTCACCTTAAGTGGTTGCTCTAACTTAAACAATCTTCTAGTGGAATGTATGCAGCTCATACATGTAAATAAATGTATGTCAAGTGCAATTCAGGTGACTCTCATTCCCAGTTTTTTCTTAAAGCAGACAAGCTCATTCTCCACCCAGAGCTAAGAATAACAAGTATGTTGTCTGAGGAGACTGAAAACAATAATAAGGAGATATTATTCTGTTCTTTGTTTCTGGCCAGCGACCTGGCTGTAGCTTCATGTGCAGATAACGGATATCTTGAATAGTTTTTTTCCCCACAATGTCTGGCATGAACTTGCTTATTTCTTAGGCAGTTTTTTATAACGTGCATCTTAGTGCTACATGACGCTTATACAGTTTTGTGCATCAGTAAGAATGTATATGCCCACATTTCTGTTTTCAGCTGCTCTCTGCAGTAGCACAGTTTGGGTGAAACAGTTGTGAAAGTGGAAAATAGATTAAAACGAAGACTTATAAGCAGCTGGTTCCATCATTTGAGAATAAATTTGTGAGTAAATGATTCATCAACATCATAAATGGAATCCCCACACCTTGGTCTTTGGAAATGAAAACTAGTAGGGGAAAAAAATGTACTTTAAAAAAGTTTGTAGTGTATATAGTTTTGTGGATCTCAGAAAAGTTTTCTCAACTTTATAAAGTAAGTATATTTACAGGAATTGCTGTTATTCCTGCATTTGTTACGGTGACATGGTTTTATAGGTCACTTGAAAAACAATTATTAAAGTAATGTTAATTCTCTGATCTTCTGAGCCTATGACAACCAAAATTAACTGGTGTGACATGAGCACTCGTTCTTATCTGATTTGACATTTGCTTTGTGATTTGAGGCTTTTGCTTTAAGCCATGATGTATGCCAGATGAAACAATGCTAATTCTGTTGGCAATCTGAAAAGATGACATTGGGCTTCTTTGTAATCAGATATGATTTATCTTAAATCATGATTCTTGAATGAGGCTCTTGTGAGGACTGAGAACCACTTCTAGTTTCCTATTCATGTCCCCCTTCAAAGCATTTTTGTTTGTGTTTGGATGACTGGTAGTTAGTTTTTAACTTTGGATATGCACATTAAGTATTTCCTGTCAAAATTGTTCTTCCTTCAGTGCAATGTTCTCACAGCTAGCTCTTCTCAGTACAGCTAAACTAACAATCCTGTGATCTAATACTGTTTTCACTGTTAAAAAGATTTTTATAAGGACTACTGAAAATCATAAATTTAACAAAAGCAAAGCTGAAGCATATGCAATGTGTACTTTACAGGAAAGCTTGTTTATATCTGTCCTGTCTACTTATTTGGTCTTTTTAAGAAAGAAGTTCTTTACAAATTTATCTTTTGGCTTAACCATAGAGTGGATGGTATCTTTGGATCTTGGCTCTGAAATTGTCTCAGGCATGAATCTAGATTGCTGCACAGTAATTAGCTCTATGAGCTGTAAAAATCAGGTTTGTCAACTTTGATCTTTTTTGGGGATTCTATTCAGAAAAGATTAGTTCTACAGAATGTAGTTATAATAGCTCTAATTATAGGTATAACTGTAAAGGAACCAGGCAGAATTCTTGGTCTTAAACAACTGAGTATTAGTATCTGTCAGCCAGCTGAACTCCCGTGTAACCTGTCCTTTTGATTACGTCACCTGTCAGGCTTCTGGCCAGCTCAGCTAAACAGGACACGCGTGTCCACACAGTGGTGGTTTTTGCTGCTCCTTGCTGCCCCACGAATACTCTTTGATTTCCATAGTGACTAATGTGAGATGCATTGGCAACATTGGTGCTCATTAGGCTAGTTAACTTGCTATCAGATAGATTTTTCTATGTGGTTCAAAACAACGCAGCACTTCTTGAAAGCTGTATTATGGAGGTTTTAGACTTTTATAACTATTTTCTCTACGTCCTTTGCTAGAATTAAAAGCTTTTGACAATGTGCTAAGGTGACATTCATGTGGAAGGAAACTGCATTCAGAGGCTGTTTAAGGAAAAGAGGTGGCTGAACCCAGGGGTCTAGATTTTTGGTATAAAGGCTTAGTATCTGCCAGGCAGTGAAATTACTTGCTGTTAAAGTGCTTATCTGTTAGTTTCTCAATTAATTTTTATCTGTTGATTTTTATTTTTTTTTTCATATCAGCATTGTTGCTTTTTTTCCTGTGCTTTTTTGGTTTTGGTACAGCAAAGATTCTAACACTCTTGGTAAATGCATAGCTTTATGTAAATGCATAGCTTTATGTTGTACACAAAGTATACAGATGCATGTCTTCATCTGGAATAACTTAAGCCTTTTCACTGACTATATGAGCATTGCTCTCTGTCGTAGTGTTACTTCTTCCAAAGTGGTTTTGGATAGATGTGTTCCAGGCACGTAACAGGTTGTTAGCCTTTAGGCGTCTGTTCCTTCTGTGGTGACTATATTAATGCATTTTATAGTGATCTTCTCACCACACCTTCCTACTGCTGCAAAATCCAATGAAATTACTTTCATGCATTTGCAGAGCTGTAATGTTGTCTTAACAACTATTTTAGTAATTGAGGATTTTGTCCCCAAAAATGGATTGAGGAAATTGGAAGCATGTTCGTACTGTTTGTCTTCCTTCACAGCCATCTGGGCTGTGCTCTGATCTGGTCTGAATACATACTGTGCTGTAGATAATGTGCTTATGCAAAATATTATTCAAAGAATAACTGTGGCTGTATCAGCGGTTATAAGTGATTATTTCAGTGAGATTGCCTAGCAAATACCCACTTTGTGGGTGCTTATTTGACCTAATCCATTTAGACTGGGTAATTTTGAAATAAATGCCTGTTAAAAGCAAGCTGACCACAATTTCTTCTACCAATTACACTTCATGGATAGCAATGTGGCAATAGATTTGAAGCTGATTTGGAGCGGTAACTTCAACATGAGCCGAATTAGTTAATTCTGTGAAATTCAACTTGGAGATAGGAGAGGTAAAACCTATGTAATTGTATTCCAAACCAGATGCGAACTCCTATTTTGGTTTCAGCAACGCTACCCTAAGTTAAGAATCAAAATAAATATCGCCAAGCTGTTCCTGAAGCTTTATGAGAATTTTTTCACATATAAATAAAACAATAGGTCTTGCCATCAGGTGTAATGTTTGTAAAAACTAAAAAAAGATTGCTCTGCTTCAAAGTGTGAGAAGTCATTCATTGCATGAGATGACCAATATTGATTAATAGACGTTTCCAGTCTAAAAATCAGTACTATATGAATGTAACTTGAGTGTGGGACTCAAGGAAGTTCAGGCAGACACCTCAGTCCAAAATGCTGTGGTGAAAGTCTTCTGATGTAAGTGCAGAAATGTGGTTTTAGCTAGTCTGCTGCTGTGGTGTAACTCATTGTTTGTGTTTTGTCAGAAATGACGCTCATTACCTATGCTCAGTTCTGCTCAGTGTGCTTGTATTCACATTATGATGTCATAAAAATTCTGTTACAAAGCCTTATGTTGGCTAATCTGCTTAATTTTTTTCCTAAATCATCCATGTTTCCTACGCAGTAAGGCTAAGGGGTGTTGAGAACTGTTAATCAGAAAACTGGCTGTCATCAGTTGAGGCACCGTGGTGATAATACCGAGTGACATCTTTGAAAATGCAGAGTCTGGATATTGCATGGCAAATGGGGCAGGATTCTGAGCAGTTACTCATTGGGAGTGCTGGTTGCTGTTGTCTTGAATATGGTGGGATACCTTAGAAAACATTAAATGAGTTACTGCAGCATAGTCACAGAGAACATAAATTGCCTATTTGTACACATCTGTTTTCTGAGCTTTTTTAATGAAAGGCTTGAGGATAACAGTTTATTCTGTATTTTTGAAATCCAGGTTCCTTGAATTGATAGGGGGCTTTAATTTCTTATTTTTCATGGAGCTTATTCTGGGTTGTGGTGTTCTTAACTTTTCAGTGTAGAGGGACTATCAGGCATACTTCTAAATTTGGATTTTTTAAAATTTAGATACATTTATCTAATTGATATATCTATCTAACAGATATATTAGATAAATTTAGATGTATTTTAAATATATCCAATTTAGTTCAAGTTTCCTGAAATGTTAGCTTATGAGGGCAAAATTGTCATTAAGGGACTCAATTTTAACTTTAAATTCTTCAATTTCAGGGGGAAATTTGCAGTGGTGAAGAAGTGCATCCAGAAAGACACTGAAAGAGAGTTTGCAGCAAAATTCATGAGAAAAAGAAGAAAGGGCCAAGATTGTCGGATGGAAATAATCCATGAAATTGCAGTCCTTGAGCTGGCACAATGCAACCTTTGGGTCATTAACTTGCATGAAGTTTATGAAACTGCGACAGAAATGATCTTAGTCCTTGAGTAGTAAGTACCATTAATAATTTCTCAATAACCTTCTGCAGTGTTTTGATATAACTAATAATGTAAAAATACCGTGTATCAATATGAATGATTTGATTGCTTGCCTGTTACACTTGCTTGAGTTGAAAAAGAATTGCCAAGAAAAGCAGTATTACAAGAAGTTATGTGCAGTCTTGTAACTACTACAGATTATAATAAATTTATCCAATTATGTAGTATCTTTCAAAGCTGAGCTATAATTTATGTAGTTAAAAAAATCTTTAGTGAAATATGAACTGTGTACAATTGTAAAAGAGGAAGAGGAAAGAAGCAACAAATCTATCCAAAAACTGAAGTTTATTTAATTGACAGTCATAAAGACAGGATGAAATCTGGGTGTTTTACAAGTTATAAAATAGGTGTTGAAAGCATTGACATTATTAAAAAGAAGCCATCAAAACCCCCTATGATTTACAAAGAAAAACTCTATAAGTAATTTTCTTTTGGGGGAATAAAAAGAGTAGGAGGATTCAGACCTAGAATAATTTATTTGAAATTACATTTAACTTGTGACTCTACACTTGCCTCTGTGTTTTTTCTGTCCTTGAGTTTGTCCAGATGGGTGTTTCTGCAGCTGTTTTGACTGTTCAGCTAATATGCCAGTCACTTATATATTTGATGTCTCAGTTCAGATGCAGCCAAATGTTTGTTGCTATTGAGCTCTTGTTAAGATCCTGTTCATGTACTATGGATTTTAAGTAATTAAGAGTGGAGTAGTGAGGCTTTATAGTTCAGAAACTAGTTACCCTGTCTTGTTCAGATGAACAGAGTTTGTGCAGCTCTTTTTTTGCTTGATAACAAAAAGGAATGGTGAGAAATCTTGTGTTCCAACCTGACCTTGCTTAGAAGTCAAACTATTTTTAAAACTCAGTGAAATGAAATGAGACTGGCTCTGCTAAGGTAAACTTCCTTCTAGAAGAGATTTTTTCCATTTCATTATGTCCTTATGGAATTAATGATTTTTGAAATATTCCAGTATCTCTTGAAATGCAAAAGTGTGACAGTGCTTCTGGACTTCTAACCACTGTTATTAGAGATTAATAAAAGTGTGCTTTAAACACTAACAGAACAGATCTAGCTAGAATACAGTTTGCATTTTTGGATCCTGTAGGAATACAATGTGAGCAGCAAGATTCAAAACTGGATACAAGCAATGGGTTTTGTGATAATTTTAATGCAAAATTGCTAGTTTTCTTCTTAACTCAATTTTCTTACAATTGCAAAACATTTTTAATCCAAAGTATTAACTAGGTTGTTCGGTAGTCACCAAGCCATTCAGTAATTAGCAGCATTATTGTTTTTATATGCATCAAACAGCCATACCTTGTTTCAGATAAATAGCTGTGTGTTAGAGTTGTAATTTACAAAAACAGGCTTTCCCTGACTTCAGTAAATATGTCTGGATGCTTCTTTAGTGTCAGCATGTTTCAGAGACATGTTGCAACAGAACAGGTATGAATGTTAGTAAATTTCTGACATTCTGTATGCAGAGGATTAAAGAACATACCTAGACTGCAAGCTTCTCAAGGGTATTTCAGCTTCATTTAAGCTTGACAGTCTGTGGCCATTCTTTATCTTGGGAAGGAGAAAACTAAATACTTAATTGTTAGCCACTAGCTTTATCTGCTAAGGTTTTAAAGTTTCTTGTGTTGATGTTCAATCTGTCATAAGGGATGAGGGAAACACTTAGTGTTCTGCCTTCATCAAGTGAAATAGTGATGTTACATTGAGGGTTATCTTTTGAGTAGGATCCATTTTTGACAGAAAACAAACTTAAAATTGGCCACTAAGTGTTAATATTGAAAGTTCTGAGTAATAGGAAGAAATGAGGCATTACAGTGTTGGCTTCAGTTGGATAGCAAATTGGTGGCTGTCTGCATCCACCCTGACAACAGTTTGTTTGTTGTCACAAGACGTCAGACAGGATTTAAGTAGAAGTTGAAGGTGTGAATAAGTGTGAAGGGGTAGTATGTAAAGCCTGGAATTGAGCTAGGTCAGACATGTTTCTGTATTTTAGTGAAAACTGAATGAATTAAAAAGAAAATTGGACTTTTACTGAAAAAAAGAGATACAGTTTGGGAAACCTGGCACGTCAGATATACAAGGAATAAAGGAAATGTGACAACTTTTGAGCTTAATATTTGTATGTAATCTACCTGACTTTCTCCAGTTTCTTTTGAAGAAGAGCAGCAGAGCATCTGATGCTCAAGAACTGGTAGTTTTTGTAAGTGTTCATCACCATATATTGATACATGTATGGAAAAGATAGGTGATATTGGTAGGTCATTAATGGGTCAGATATTACAGAAACCTATATGTGTAACTTCAAAATCTGTGCCATGAAGTACTTTTTTTTGTGATGAGCTTCTTAACTGAGTAATTACCTGCCGGGGTCTGGTTTAGATATAGTAGGCTTTTGTTACACTTTAAAAAAGAAAAAATATTGTATTTTATCATCTTGAAGACGTCATGGTTTCTTGGATATTCTGAAGTGTTATTTTTCACCTATAGTTATTAGGACCTGGATAATGTTGCTACTTGTATTGCCTTGGACATACTGTCCTACTTACTGGAGGGGTGACTGGTTAAGGTAAGACTGCTGGCAGGAGACACTTCTTTTGGCATGGGATTCAACAGATAAAACTTGGAGCAAAACCATTGTAGCCAGAAATAACTGTGCTGTTCCAGTTTTTGCATCTTGCCTATTAGAGTAATTAAAGTTGTTCTAAATGGCAGTCTCAAATCAAGACTGGAGCTCTTAAAAAAAGTTTATAAAGAAGATTTCTCAGATGGTATTAGATACCTTTTGTTGTTGTTTTGTTCAGTTCTTGGGCTTCCTGATTGGAAAGATTAAGGGGGGAAAAAGCACATTTGTTTGAGAACTAAGAACTTAAAAGCAGTATCTACAACTTCATGCATTTGGATGCTTTTCTTCCCAGATGTCCTCTTGTCAGATACAGATTTACAGTTTTCTCTGGTTTTGGGGACATTGGTACACTATGATAACCTTACACTGAAAAACGTCTTCTTGAAGCTGTATTGCTGATAGCAATACAACTACCTTGATGTGATCTTGTCAAATAAGCTCTGTGTACAGAAAGCAGATGAGTTTCCATTATTCTTCCAAAGATAATCCTATTGAAAGAGGCTTTTGACAGAGCATAAGAGTCAGGAAGTAAATTTTTCACTCTTGCAGACTGTATATGGACAACAAGGTATCCACAGGACAGCAATGTGCCCTGGTGGTCAAGAAGGCCAGTGGTATCCTGGGTTGCATTAAGAAGAGTGTGTCCAGCAAATTGAGGGAGGTTCTCCTCCCCCTCTACCCTAGTGAGACCTCACCTGAGTTTTGTGCCCAGTTCTGGGCTCCCCAGTTGGAGATACAGGGAATTACTTGAGAGAGCCCAACGAAGGGCTACGAGGATGATTAAGGGACTGGAACACCTGCCTTATGAGGAAAAGCTGAGAGACCTGAGGCTTTTTAGTCTGGAGAGGAGAAGACGGGGGGATCTAATTAGTGTATATAAATACTTGAGGGCTGGGCATCAAGAAGGCAGGGACAACCTCTTTTCACTTGTGCCCTCTGATAGGATGAAGGACAATGGACTCAAGCTAGAGCACAGGACATTCTACCTCAACACCAGGAAGAACTTCTTTACTGTAACAGAGCACTGGAACAGGCTGCTCAGAGTGGTTGTGGAGTCTTCTTCTCTGGAGACTTTCAAGACCTGTCTGGATGCATTTTTGAGTGACCTGCTCTAGATTTGGTCCTGCTTTGTTATGAGGGTTGGACTTGATGATCTCCAGAGGTCCCTTCCAACCCCTAACATTCTGAAAAATATGGTCTCACTCAGCATTTGAAAAAAAAGTGTATTTTTTAAACTTGTTATCTACATATCTGTTGTGTGAGAGTTTGTACCTCTGAGTTTTTCAGAAGACTATCTTGATGTCTCATCCATTAAAGCTGGGGGTATGTTTAATTTTTTCAGGTGCACGAAAATAGATTTTTTTCACTATTTTTCTAATGATATGCTAAGCGACTCTTAGTGTATTGTAAGTGCACTTGAAAGAAGTGGGATGCTGAATTCCATATAGTGCATTAAGATACGTTTGAAGGAAGATAAGCAGTCTCCATTGAATTAAAAGTCAACATAATTGTAACCAAGATTAATGCTTCAGACTTCCAAATTACTTTTAGTTCATTTATGCTGATAAGCAGCTAAAAAATGCTAGCATGTTTTTCACTGATGAAGAGCAGTTGGATTTCACATGAAAGTTTAGAGAATTTAATAGCACAACAGCAAATTCATAAACAAATTAAAATAGCTAAATAGTTCAGGTTACCATAGCTTTTGAGTTTGGAAAGAGTTCTTATGTCTTGCATTTTTTTTGTATACTTGGATGAGGAAGTGTGTACTAGAGAAATAAGGCATTTTAAATCACACTGGATTTCAAAACATTGTGCTCCTAAATATTTTCCTTATCATTCTTTTTTCAGATTAAGGTGGCTTGTTTTCCTAAAGACTTTTTTGTCCTAAGGACAATTCTTTGCTTTTATCCCCTAGGAACATTTTCTTTCAAGGTGGGTGGGGGTGCCTGGAGGTTTGCAAAGTTGTTTTTACACAATGACCATTAGAAAAGATGGAGCTTAATGGCAAACATGTTCTTACAGGAAAAATGAGTAAATGTTAAAAACATCAGAGAACTCCTGGTCTACATATATACAGAAATCATTGCAATTACATGCACATACAGCAGCTATTTTAACCTGTGTTTTGATTACTACTGTTTTTTTCCCCTGAACTGTGGCTAGGGAGTATAAAATAACTGAGTTGAAAGTCTTGTTAAGGAGCTTGGCAATACATGGATGGGTGTGTGGGAGAATCTTTTCGGAGTTCGTTTTGACATTGTATTTCTAATCACTTGTGACTAGGTTGGCTCACAGCTAAACTGTTTTAGTTTAGGGAATCAGTTAAGCTCACTCCACAGCAACGATACATGGAAGAGTCTTGCAGGAACAATTTTCCTGTGTTCTTGTAAAGGTTTGCTAGTTACTTGTGTGAATATGGTAATTTATTGATAGAATTAATTGTCTAGAAGAAGATGCATTATTGTTTTAAGATAGAGCCTCTGCTTATTTTACTTTTGATGCCACATGATTTTGCTGTAAAACAATTTTGGTTCTCTAGAGTCATTACTAAACAGATAGTACTGCTTGTGGCTTCAGAGTACTTTTTAAAACACTTATTCACCTCTAGTTATTTTAAATTTTTGTTACTTTATTTAAACATACATAAACAGAAGATAAAGAAGCAAGCTAAGACCTAAAGTTTTCCAAAGTACTTTTAGATGAAAGCTATTTAGAAGCTTAATACATCCCTGTATAGCAGAGACTTCATACACATTTCAATTACAGGCTTTACATTTAGTCTTTTGAGGGTGTGCAAAGCATTTTAAGGAGGACTGGAGGTGGAGCTGTTTTGGGTTGTGTTTACAAAGGCTTACCTTGGCCAAATTTCCATGTAGTTTAATAGGAATGGCAAAAGGCAAGTATTTTTTGTAAACACTGCCCTTAAACAAATGTGGCATTCATCTAAAGCATAGTCAGTAGTGTTTCCAAAATAGTCCCCAAAATGTCAGTAGTAGTCATATTCTCTAACCTAAATTACTAAGATCTTTGCTTTTCTCTGAAGTTGCCATACTGTAGAGAAGTCTCCTAGGCTGTAAAAGCTTGCCAGATGTTTAATAACTTAAAGTACTGTTGCCTACTCTGAATAAAATAGTGCAACAAAGTGGGTGCTGTATCTTAGTTGTTGAAATAATAAAATTCATATTGTTTCATAGTGCTGCTGGAGGTGAAATCTTTGACCAGTGTGTGGCAGAGAGAGAGGAAGCCTTCAAAGAAAAAGATGTTAAACGACTTATGAAACAGATCTTAGAAGGAGTTTCATTCTTGCACAGAAACAACGTGGTTCATCTTGACTTAAAGGTAAGATTCATGCTGGGTTTTTTCTCATTAATATCTTATCTGTTGACTTTCTTGTTGGTCATATGTCATGCAAATGATAATTTGTAATTAACACAATTTTTATCTAGTTATTCCTCAAATGATAAAATTGAACCTTTGGGATGCAATAGGGTAGTTTTTATGATTATGGCAAATATAAACTTCATTTAAGTGAAATGTAATGAATTCAAAACTGGGTTTGCATTGTACCTTAAATTGTGAATGTGTGCTTTGGGTGAGACCTGACTCACTTTTCAAGTGCCATAAAAATGTCTAGATGTTACATGGCTGTTGAAAAATAGGTTTGTTTTTGTATTGACTTGAGCTTCAGTGAAGCAGAAAGGTGGCAGAGGCACTGCTAGTGTTATGCTTCAGAATGAAGTCTTCGTACTGGACTGGTAAACTGTGTATTAATGTGTTAAATACTTTCCTAACACTTTGGTATTTTTTTAAATTACTGTAAAGCTTAAATGTTTGTCATTTACTGCCTAACAGTTGGCCAACACACTATTGGTATATAAATTGCCATGATTTACTGGAGTAAATATTTTTCCTTACTGAAGAGCAGTTTTTACCCAAATAAAGAGATAAAAGTACAGTTACTTAAAAACTTTTCAACTGATCAGAAGAAAAATTTATCTGATAAAATAGAGCATATCCAGTTCTCACTGAAAGATTCAGCATTGCTTTACTGGCATGTAAAAGTTCATTAGCAGAGCATTAGCAGAGATGTCTAGTGTTTGACTTGAATAAGTTTATATGATATTGCAATATATGATGTCCATTTGAAAAGGAAACTGCAGCATGATTGCTTTCATGATACAGAATACTATCAGTCTTTTGATAAATAAGTTTTAGGGAAGTCTTCAGAATCTTGGCAAATAAAGATGATGGAAACTGTAGGATTAAAAACCATGTTTTGCAATGATTGATTGTCCCATATGCCTTGCAAGACTTCTAAAAAAGGAGGGGAATTCAAAAATTGAAGTTGGGTGCTGGCTTTGTCTGCATGTTAATTAAACCACTGGCCTCAAAACATCATCTGTTGAATCATATAGCTCATGCTGCTTTACCATGAAACTTACTAAATGCTTGGTTTTTTGAGGTGACTTTGGAAGACTGTTAAGCATTGTGTTTGCCAATATCAACAAGTTTACAAATTCTTGGCAAAATGTCTTTCTTGTGCTATTAGTTACACCTTTGGGTCTCTAAAGGTTTTCCTTTTATTTATCTGGTGCAAATACTTTTGGAAAGGTCTGTCTAATTTTCCATGAGTTGCACCTTTAAAAAAGTCTGGCTCTGTACCCAGAAGAATTTAAGTCAAAATGGTTGTCAGTGTGTGATTGTCAGCTTGTTGTAGTTTTATATTATACATCTAAGCAACCAGGTCTGACACTGATGCAAGAGTTTTCCTTGAGACTAAACACTGAAGAAAAAGGGGGGTTTTGATGTGCCTTAGCAAGTTTACCACCTGATCACCTCTTTCCAAATGCCTGGTTCTCCTGAAAAATGGTTGAAATATGGCTTGGTCTTAATAGCAAAACACAATCATATCATTCAGTTTTGACTTGGAGAAAGAGCAAACATAATGCTAGTGAGTGCAAATTAAGTATCACTTGACAGTATTGTGTTGATGGTATTTAATTTGCAGGGTGTACACAGATTGTAGTCAGGAGTCTTTCATCTCCTCTTAATGGTGCTTAAAAGCTGCAGAGTAAGGGAAGACTCCTTGCTCTGTGTTTTCATTTGCTGTTTGACTTGATCTTGAATTGGTGTTTGGAAAAGCTTAAAGTAGTTGGGAATGGAAGAGAATTAAAAAAGGTGTGGGGGTTGAAGAAGGACTAGTTGCCTCTTGTCTACAGCAGAGATAGGTAAAGAGCCTTACATAGTCCTGGAGTCTGGGAGAATGATTGCTCCAAGCTGCACTCTCCTGTGGCGTATGTTACTCTGGTTATCCGACAGACAACGTTTCCCTTCCTTCTTCTATATGGCTTTCAAGAAGTTGTGTTTGGTGAGAACAGCTAGCAGAATCATTTGAAGATGGCTTGAGTGGCAATTTACACCAATATTCAAAAAGCAAACTAACGGAATTATGGAAGAAGTGGCCTAATACAAGAACATTCATTTTCTCATTTGATTTTTTCGGGGGGGTTAAGGTGGAATGTTTATTACACAGAAGTGTAGTATTAATAGCAGTGTAGTATTCCTTGACTAAAAGAAACATGCAGAAAGCTGAAGAGAGTTGAAAACTTACAATAGAATTTTTTCAAGGCAAATTAACACTGGAGTTGAAATATTTATAGCAATTAGAGCAAAGCTGTTGGTTAATAGGCCCCTATAGACTGTCCAGGCTATACAGAACCGGTTTTGATCATAGCCTTATTTTTTATTTTGGGGAATAAGTGTGATCCTAGTCTAATAGAGCTACTCTTAAGTGACTGTTGATCAGCCTAGTTTAGTGTCTACACAAAATGTAGCTGGTGTATCCCAGTTAGTCTGTTTTTCCTGTTTCTGCCCACTATTTCTTAGATAGTTCTTGTCTGTCTTCTCAGGATCAGATTTTTTTACAGTGTTAGAAAATTAGATACCTAGCTTAGTTACTGTTGGAGGTTAAGGTTTGACATTGATTAGTTTAAAACACAACCTTTATTATGTGTCCCTAGTCATACTCTTCTTGAAACCAACTGAAGATAGAAGAAATACTAGGGCAAAAAGCTCCTGAAAACTTCTGGAGTAATGGCAAATTTGCTATGTACAGATTTTGCCATTATATAGTGAGTTTACAGGATTCCAAAACCTTCTGTCCAGGTTGGGTTGAAGGCTATCCTAATTTACAAAGTACACTTTTTACAAACAGTGTGTGCTACTTGCAGAATAAGCTTCCAGATGCCACCAGATCCTTGTATACATTGCCTTAGTCTGACCTTTGCACTGCAAGGACACTGACAGAAAGCTGTGTTCTTCATGTGACAGTAGTTTAGTCCAATTTAAGTGAAAAATGTAAGACTGGTTAATATTTGCAATGATAAAAAATGCTTTTTGCTGCTATTATTCTTCATGTGATGGTACAGATATAAGCAACATCTCAGATTCCTAAAGCCAGAGTTTCTGGTTGTTGGCAGTATGCTTGGAAAATGCAACTTTTTTGACAGTCTTTCCCAAGGTACCCGTTTCTGTTTGCACTATGGTGTTGGGCTAGACTTGTCTGGCCACATGTGGTTTCTGTGCACATCCTAGTCTTGTAGTCAAGTTCATCCCTTCACATTGCCCATTTAGCCAAGGATTCTTTCTTCTTTTGTTTTGTTGGTTTTTTTTGGTGGTGGTGCACAATGAAAAAGGATATAAATCAGAACCTTTAAGCCTTACTGTATTAGAGAGGGAGGTTTTTTAATGTTGCCATTTGACAGTTTTCATCAGCCATTTCATTCCT